AAAATTTGAAAAGTTAAAGAAAAATGCTAGAACAATGCCTATTGTTCATCCCATTGCATTTCAAAACCAAAAGTATACCAAAAGCCCCAAACAAAACTACACACACTTACATATATTATATATTATATATATGTATATATATATATACACACACACACACACATATACATGCATATGTAAGTATATATATCTGTATAACAAAACTATATATAGTATATATAGTTATATATAACAAAACTATATATACACGTATATATGTATATATAGGTTATATGTATATATGTAAAATGGGTTATAAATAGGTTATATATAGTATATATATATGTTATATGTATATATGTACACACACATATATATATTTCATTGGGAAAGTCATGATGTATTTTTCTATGCAAAAATGCATCATGACTTTCCTGGTGACTCAGTATTTATGTTAATGCATAGAGAAGTATAAAAGCGTGGGAAAAGATGGGTCACTGTGGGGTTCTCTACTCTGGATACGTAGAGTACAATCAGTGGGAAGGGATTTTGGGATGTGTACTCACCAGAAAGACAGCAAGGGGGGAGAGAGAAAGTACCCCCCAATGGGGCATGGTCATTTCACAGCCCCTTTTCCTCTGTTTTTCCACCCTGTCAGGTTTTGGACACACATGCACTTATGTTTGATATAAACATACCAAACCACCAGGGTTGGGATTAAAATTGTTGTTAGCCATGTAGGATCTGCCTCTCTTAACCACTAGACCATGGAACCAGCCCAAGAAATACTTTTAAAGAAAAAAAAAAATTAATGTTCTTAGACTTTCTTTCTGGATGTGATAGGGCATGTGGGATGGAGTGCACTCCTATTGCATAAACACTTAGGCAGTCTGTAGCTGACTTGCCTACTGGGAGGCTCTGAGGGAAGCCACCTATTCTCTTCCCCTGTTTCCAGGAGCAGTAAGTCTGTTCTCTCAGGAGGAAGAAGACTGGTCACTTCTGAGGTCTGTTGACTGCAAATACCTCCGATAAAACTGCCTCGCCCAGGTTGGGTCTATTCTAAAGGCCCTGATCTCTCTGCTACTTTATGTTGCTGCCTAGATCAATCATCATCATCCTTTATGTGGTTACTTCAGAATTTTAGAGAAGAATAGCAGGATAGGATTGCTCAGTTGTAGTAGTAAATAAAGCCCCAAAACTTAGTGTCTTAATTCTACCAAGATTCATCTCCCTCACTCCTTCCTGCTACAACTCAATGTGAACTGAGTACATCTCTAGAGCATCTCTCTTCCAGGTAGTGACTCAGGGTCCTGGCTGATCCTATCTTGTGGCTATACCACGTGACTTACAGGATCATTGTAACTTGGAGAGAGAAAGCTGGAGGGCCACAGGGGCTGATATCACCAGGTTAGGAAACAACTTACGTCATTTCCTCCCATATCCCAGGGGCCAGAACTAGTCATATGGCTCCAATAGAGTTGCAAAACAGTAGAGGAAAGGTGGGAGTGCACACGACTGTTTGGCAGGAATTTAGTATCTCTGACACAATAGGAGAAAAGGAAAAATATGAATTGGATATAAACAAACGCTAATTCTGTAAAAGGAATCAACATGGGAGACTGTTCAGTAGCTTAGGGTTCCTTGATAGTAGGAACCCTTTTGCTAATTTTCACCCTCATCCTAGCCTTTAATCTTGTTGATTAAAACAATGTACCTTTGAAGCATCTTTATTTACTATTAGCCAAATTGAGCTACTACTCTTACTTAAAGCATTTTTTTAAACTTCTACTTGGAAATTTTCTTCTTAGCCAAGAAGATCAGTTGTTTCTTTTTTTTTTCTTCTTCTTCTTTTTTTGGTTATTGATCTTTCCTTTTTTTTTTTTTTTTTTTGTCTTTTTTTTCTCCAAGTTTGTTCTCTGGACTTCTTTTTTTTTTGGTTATTGTTTTTTCCTTTTTTTTTTTTTTTTTTTGTCTCTTGTATCTCCAAGTTAGGTCTTTGAGAAGATGTAAAAGCAAAGTAAACTGTGAGCAAAGTCACAAATAAATACTCTGAATGAAAACAGGACATCACTACCAATATTGCAGAGATTTGAAAGTTAATAAGAAAACACTCTTACACCTATATCTTAATACATTTATTTAAACTCTCACCTGTTTTGTTTTCATTCAAAGAGCAATTATCCCAGCTTAAGCAAGAATAATTTTCTCCGTCAGACTTGACCTATGACTATTCTTTTAAGAATATATTAATTATGTCATTAAAATATCTTTGAGTTTCAAAGGGTTATGATGCAGACTCTGAAGATAGTCCCTACAGAAGAATGGTGTCTTGACTGCCACGTCATTCGAACAAAGGCTCCTAAGGGTCTAAGTTCAAAAGGTGTCTCTGCTCTTGTAGGCTAAATGTCCTGAGGTTTGCTTAAAAAATTACTAGTCCTCACTACTCTTTAATTATGTCTTAATCAACCTTGGATTTAACCTAACTGACTCCCTACCCTCATTACATGGATTTTTAGAAGCTGGAAAGATTTGAAGAGGGACTTAAGATCCAAAAAGAAGTGATTCTTAAAAAAAATAGTTTAGAAGAGCCACTGTTCCAAAGGCGGGAAGACTTGCAGTAACATCTGAGCCTTGATGAGTATATATGCCATTTTCCTTTGGAAATGTCTTTCTTATGGAGACAGACCATCAACTTCCCTGGCCTTCCCTCATAGCTTCATGGTTATGGAAGTCCCCAGCTGCTGCCCTGTCTTCATCCTGTCCTCATATGTCTTTACTTCGTTGATCTTCCTCAAACTTCTCTCTGATCATGTCACTTTTGAAGGAATAACACTTGACTTTCAAAACATGCTAAAATGACCCCATACATACTATCTTGCCTACCCTATTTTCTTCTGCTCCTCAGCACACAGTCACATCTCCAGGCATGTCGGTCTCCTCCATATCCCATAAACATGCCATCCTTGTCCTGTTGTCTCTGTGTAGTTCTTCGTGTTACTCTGCAAGCCTGGAATGCTCTTCTAGGCCCACATCATAAGAATGCTTGACTTCACACAATGAATGAGTGGCCGGCTTGTCGTTTAAAATGCCTGTACATGTGTATGAAGCAGCTCCCATTTGTATAGGGCTGGACGTTTAGCTTCCGAAGTTTGTCTTGATTTATGACTTATTGATTGGCTGTGAGCCCAATTCTTAGTTTTTTATTTTTTATTTTTCAGCTTCTTAGTTGCTGCCAATCTATAAACCAACACTTAAATCCGTCAAGGAAGATCCTTTAGTAAAAGCATCATCTTTGATAGAAAGTGAGGAAGTCACCCCTGCACTTAAAAAATTTGTAGTTAAAAGCTTGGATGATTGCCAACTGGGTTTTCTTAAAATGGGGCCTCCTTGGATGTGTCAAGCAACTTCTTTCCAATTTGGAATTCCAGGGTAATAAATAATAAAACTATATTTAGGGTTTTATGTCACCACAATCTCAAGAGATTTTTCTCTTCTCACTTAACCTCTGTTGTGCAGGTCTGAGTTTCAGTCAATTCATATATATTATATCTGGTAGATATCAGGGAGTTGGCCAGGTGAGTTTACTAGACTTATTTATTTATTGGTTTTGTTTTGTCTTGATGGGAAAACTTTCTGTGATAAAACATTTTGGGGCTGTTGGTTATTGGTACAGAGGTTCTTTTTGTCCTTATAAAACTTCGTACTAAATGCTGGAAAGGAGAGGATGCCCTCGCTTGATATGTGAATGGTTTTAGGAACCAGTTTGAGGAGTGCTAGTGATACTCAAACATTTGTCCTGGTTACTCTAGAATATGTTCCAGAATCCTCTGTAAGAAGATTTGTAAGAAAAGGGAAGAAAATAAGAGTGGTTCACTCTTCATTATATCAGTGTCAAGATAGGCATGTCTTGTGATCCAGCATAAAATGGGTGGTTTGTGTCTAAAGCAGAAGTGATAGCATGTGACTTTCAAGGCTTGGTTCTTTGGAAGATCTACTCTTGAGATCCAGGCACCATGATGTGAGGAAGCCCAAATGGCCCCATGGAAAGGTCATGTGTAGGTGTTCCTCTTGATATTCACTGTTGAGGTCTCAGCCTAGAGCCTGCAGCACCTGCTAGATCTGCTTTCAGATAATTCCAGCTCCCAACCCTCAAGTCATCTCCAGTATGAGTCTTCCCAGCAAAGACTCTAGACATGTAGAGCAGAGTCATCTATTCCACATGCCTTTTCAAAATTTCTGACTTAGAGAATCTGTGGATATAATTCAATGATTGTTTTTATTTTAAATTTAGTGCACTGCTATGCTTGGGGAGATTTGTTAAGCAGCAATAATAACTTGAAGAGCTACTTCTCCAAGGTGCATAGAAAGGATAGTGGGGATTAGTGAATGCGTTCTCTAGGGACTGAGATTGGCAGATCTGGATTCTGCGAGCACCTCAAGTTATACAAAGTCTGTTCTTATGATCTGGAAACCTAGACATCAAATGGAAATAGAGGAAAATTAGGGCAGTTTGTAAGATTCCCACAACCCCACCTCTTGACCTAGAGAGAAACTTGGATTCAGGCTGCAGCTTCAGTAATGTCCTTCCTGAGAGACGACTAGGGTAGAATTGTTTCCTTCCTGCCTTCCTGGCCCTAGTGTACACAAGGCTGAAGACCTCAGAAACACTAGTTATATCTGTTACGTTGCGGGAACACTCAAAGAGTCTTGCAGGGATTATTCCTCATTGTTAGGCGAACCAGGTGGTAGAACCTTGCTAAATAGCACAAATGTTGGTTGAAACTGTGATTCTCTCTGGAAAATTCTAAGTAGCTAATACAATGAGAGAAAAGAAATGACCTCAGTTTATAACTGTAGTACTGATTGGGCATGTCTTTATCTATGCTCTTTTATGTTATGTTCCTATCCATGGAGAACCAGGGTTATACAGAATCAATTATGATGGATTTGGAGGACCGTAAAAGCCAATGTCCTTTGTCTCCATTAATCTCCTCTCAATTTCTCTCCTCAACCACTCCCAGATGCATTAATGAAGCTAAACAAGTGTTGTGAAGTTAAATAAGATGACACTTCTCTTCGAAGGTTGGTAAAAAGCTTATCAGCATTTAAGAGTCAGCACAGGCACTAATTCTCTCAGGTAAGCTTTCCTGAGTCCTTCTCCAATCCTCCTTCCTCCTGTCTGCTGCATGTTGATGTAGCTGTGGACTAAGTCCACCTAGTGGACTAAGAGCTCCTTGGGTTGCTGTTTTCAGTCTGTGTATCTTGAGCGTACACTTAGTTCTCAGCAAGGCCTACTCAGGAGATGCTTGTTGGTAAAAATTGGAAAAACAAAACAAAACAAAAAACAAAAAAACTCTTGTCACTATGTTATTGGCTTTCAGAAATGCCTTCCCTATGTGTCTTTTGTTTTTAATCACAGTGAACATACAACTTTGTGTCTTGCCTTTTCCTCTTTTGTTTTTGTTACTGTGGTTTCAGATTTCCCCTGTCGTAATATAATTTCAAACCTTAGCAATAACAATAATAACTACTGCATCGATTACAGGTATGGTGCCAGAAACTCTGTACATGGTTTCTTAACTAGTCTTTCCAATTTGCAAGGTGGATGTCAATAGCTCCATTTTACAGATTGAGAAATGAAGGTTTAGAAAGCAGTCTGCCAACAATTACTAGCTGATAGAGACTAGATTGATCCCTCTGATTTCAATATTCACATT